GCAAAAGATTGTAACTGAATCGAACCCCGGTCTTCCGCGTGACAGGCGGAGATACTGTCCACTATACTAACGAGGAAGCAACTTGGAAAATTGTTTCATCGAGTGCGCCCCAATCTTACATAGTGTCATGCCCTGCAACGACAATGCCAGCTTTGTTTTCGACTTCAAAACCCCAAGAGTGAATGGGGCTGTTGCAGATTCTGTGCAACTGTCTGTCTGTTGACTGGCTTAAACTTGATTTGTCATTAGCCAGAAAGTCAAAAGCAATTTAGTCTTTTGCAGGTTGCAAAAATGTGAAACTCTCCGCAGAGGAATCGAAACCCCTGGTTTTCCATGTGACAGGCGGAGGTACTGTCCACTGTACTAACGAGGAAAGGGCTTTTCACAATGTGTTCTCGAGGTCAGCCTAATGTAACATCGTATCTTTCTCTGCAACTGCGGTGCCATGTTTGTTTTTGGACTTCGAAGCCCCAAGAGTGGGCGTAAAATGAATGCTCCTGTTGCAGATTTTGATGGGAAATTGAACCTCCACGAAAAACTTACGAGAGAGTGTCATCAAGTGCGATTTAAATTTTCATAGTCTCTCTGGTTTGTCTGTTGCCTGACTTGAGCTTGCATTGCCCATAGCCAGTAATCAGCAGCCATTGAAACACAAAATGTGTGAATGGCTGCGACTAACCTTAAGTGTAGATCCACTTTACAGACCAATAGCATATTAGGGGTGCTTTATTGACTCTCTCACAACACGGAAGAAAAATCCAATGTTAGAATGACCCATCAAATTACCATCGCTGAGGTCATCACTGTATTGGGCATGAGCCCTCGTCCCGTTACAGCCTGGAACTACAGCTCAAAGTTCTCTTCAGTTGACGCACAAATCTTTCGCCTTTTACTAAAGATATCCGTGGAGAGGAGCTTAATTGAGCATCGCTTATTTTTGGGCTGCTTTGCTGCTGGCAAAGCAATACAAATGTGTATAAAAGACAAGTCCTTTCCGATGTTATCCGTTGTGTTGAAATATGCGGCTATGTAAAAGTAATACAGAGCCAAGAAAACATTTCCATAGTGTAAATGGCAATATTGTCCCATCGGGGAGTCAAACCCCTGTATTTGCTTGATTAGCAGAGACACTCTCCACTACACTGCAGAACAAACAAACTTACGAGAGTGTGACACAGAGCACGACTCGAAATTTTTAGTCTCACTTTTTGCAACAGCAACATTGTATTTATGTTTTCACCTGGAAAACCCTAGATTGAATTTAAAAGGGGTGTTGATGAGGATTCGGGTAAACCGTCTGTCTTTTGGCTGTCCTTAGCCAACAGCATCAAGTCATTTTCGTTTTGCAAAAGATTGTAACAACCCGTCGGGGAATCGAACCCCGGTCTTCCGCGTGACAGGCGGAGATACTGACCACTATACTAACGAGCAGCAACTTGGAAAATTAATTCATTGAGTGCGCCCCAATCTTACATAGTGTCATGCCCTGCAACGACAATGCCAGCTTTGTTTTTCGACTTCAAAACCCAAAGAGTGAATGGGGCTGTTGCAGATTCTGTGCAACTGTCTGTCTGTTGACTGGCTTAAACTTGATTTGTCATTAGCCAGAAAGTCAAAAGCAATTTAGTCTTTTGCAGGTTGCAAAAATGTGAAACTCTCCGCAGAGGAATCGAAACCCCTGGTTTTCCATGTGACAGGCGGAGGTACTGTCCACTGTACTAACGAGGAAAGGGCTTTTCACAATGTGTTCTCGAGGTCAGCCTAATGTAACATCGTATCTTTCTCTGCAACTGCGGTGCCATGTTTGTTTTTGGACTTCGAAGCCCCAAGAGTGGACGTAAAATGAATGCTCCTGTTGCAGATTTTGATGGGAAATTGAACCTCCACGAAAAACTTACGAGAGAGTGTCATCAAGTGCGATTTAAATTTTCATAGTCTCTCTGGTTTGTCTGTTGCCTGACTTGAGCTTGCATTGCCCATAGCCAGTAATCAACAGCCATTGAAACACAAAATGTGTGAATGGCTGCGACTTACCTTAAGTGTAGATCCACTTTACAGACCAATAGCATATTAGGGGTGCTTTATTGACTCTCTCACAACACGGAAGAAAAATCCAATGTTAGAATGACCCATCAAATTACCATCGCTGAGGTCATCACTGTATTGGGTATGAGCCCTCGTCCCGTTACAGCCTTGAACTACAGCTCAAAGTGCTCTTCAGTTGACGCACAAATCTTTCGCCTTTTACTAAAGATTTCCGTGGAGAGGAGCTCAATTGAGCATTGCTTATTTTTGGGCTGCTTTGCTGCTGGCAAAGCAGTACAAATGTGTATAAAAGACAAGTCCTTTCTGATATTCGTTGTTGTGTTGAAGTATGCGGCTATGTAAAAGTAATACAGAGCCAAGGAAACATTTCCATAGTGTAAATGGCAATATTGTCCCATCGGGAAGTCAAACCCCTGTATTTGCTTGATTAGCAGAGACACTCTCCACTACACTGCAGAACAAACAAACTTACGAGAGCCTGACACAGAGCACGAATCGAAATTTCTAGTCTCACTTTTTGCAACAGCAACATCGTATTTATGTTTTCACCTGGAAAACCCTAGATTGAATTTAAAGGGGTGTTGTTGACGATTCGGGTAAACCGTCTGTCTTTTGGCTGTCCTTAGCCAACAGCATCAAGTCATTTTCGTTTTGCAAAAGATTGTAACTCCCCGTCGGGGAATCGAACCCCGGTCTTCCACGTGACAGGCGGAGATACTGTCCACTATACTAACGAGGAAGCAACTTGGAAAATTGTTTCATCGAGTGCGCCCCAATCTTACATAGTGTCATGCCCTGCAACGACAATGCCAGCTTTGTTTTTCGACTTCAAAACCCCAAGAGTGAATGGGGCTGTTGCAGATTCTGTGCAACTGTCTGTCTGTTGACTGGCTTAAACTTGATTTGTCATTAGCCAGAAAGTCAAAAGCAATTTAGTCTTTTGCAGGTTGCAAAAATGTGAAACTCTCCGCAGAGGAATCGAAACCCCTGGTTTTCCATGTGACAGGCGGAGGTACTGTCCACTGTACTAACGAGGAAAGGGCTTTTCTCAATGTGTTCTCGAGGTCAGCCTAATGTAACATCGTATCTTTCTCTGCAACTGCGGTGCCATGTTTGTTTTTGGACTTCGAAGCCCCAAGAGTGGACGTAAAATGAATGCTCCTGTTGCAGATTTTGATGGGAAATTGAACCTCCACGAAAAACTTACGAGAGAGTGTCATCAAGTGCGATTTAAATTTTCATAGTCTCTCTGGTTTGTCTGTTGCCTGACTTGAGCTTGCATTGCCCATAGCCAGTAATCAACAGCCATTGAAACACAAAATGTGTGAATGGCTGCGACTTACCTTAAGTGTAGATCCACTTTACAGACCAATAGCATATTAGGGGGGCTTTATTGACTCTCTCACAACACGGAAGAAAAATCCAATGTTAGAATGACCCATCAAATTACCATCGCTGAGGTCATCACTGTATTGGGCATGAGCCCTCGTCCCGTTACAGCCTCAAAGTTCTCTTCAGTTGACGCACAAATCTTTCGCCTTTTACTAAAGATTTCCGTGGAGAGGAGCTTAATTGAGCATCGCTTATTTTTGGGCTGCTTTGCTGCTGGCAAAGCAATACAAATGTGTATAAAAGACAAGTCCTTTCCGATGTTCATCGTTGTGTTGAAGTATGTGGCTATGTAAAAGTAATACAGACCCAAGGAAACATTTCCATAGTGTAAATGGCAATATTGTCCCATCGGGGAGTCAAACCCCTGTATTTGCTTGATTAGCAGAGACACTCTCCACTACACTGCAGAACAAACAAACTTACGAGAGCGTGACACAGAGCACGACTCGAAATTTCTAGTCTCACTTTTTGCAACAGCAACATCGTATTTATGTTTTCACCTGGAAAGCCCTAGATTGAATTTAAAAGGGGTGTTGTTGAGGATTCGGGTAAACCGTCTGTCTTTTAGCTGTCCTTAGCCAACAGCATCAAGTCATTTTCATTTTGCAAAAGATTGTAACCCCCCGTCGGGGAATCGAACCCCGGTCTCCCGCGTGACAGGCGGAGATACTGTCCACTATACTAATGAGGAAGCAACTTGGAAAGTTGTTTCATCGAGTGCGCCCCAATCTTACATAGTGTCATGCCCTGCAACGACAATGCCAGCTTTGTTTTTCGACTTCAAAACCCCAAGAGTGAATGGGGCTGTTGCAGATTCTGTGCAACTGTCTGTCTGTTGACTGGCTTAAACTTGCATTGTCCTTAGCCAGTAATCAAAAGCTGATTAGTCATTTGCAATAAACAGAACTCTACTTCGGGGAATAAAATCGAACCACGGTCCTCCGCGCGACAGGCAGCGAAACTGTCCACTATACTAACGAGGTAACAACTCAACACATTGTGTTATCGAGTGTCCCCAATGTTACGTAGTGTCTTTTTCTGCAACAGCAAAGCCATGCTTGTTTTTGGACTTTGAAAACACAAGAGAGAATGTAAAATGTAAAAAGTAATGTAATGTAAAAGCCCTTTGACTTGGAATTTTTGGGCTGCTTTGCTGCTGGCAAAGCAATACAAATGTGTAAAAAAGACAAGTCCTTTTCGATATTCGTCGTTTTGTGGAAGTATGCGGCTATGTGAAAGTAATAAAGAGCCAAGGAAACATTTGCCTAGTGTAAATGGCAATATTGCCCCATCGGGGAATCAAAACCCTGTATTTGCTTGATTAGCAGAGACACTCTCCACTACACTGAAGAACAAACAAACTTACGAGAGCGTGACACAGAGCACGACTCGAAATTTCTAGTCTCACTTTTTGCAACAGCAACATCGTATTTATGTTTTCACCTGGAAAACCCTAGATTGAATTTAAAAGGGGTGTTGTTGACGATTCGGGTAAACCGTCTGTCTTTTGGCTGTCCTTAGCCAACAGCATCAAGTCATTTTCGTTTTGCAAAAGATTGTAACTCGCTGTTGGGGAATCAAACCCCGGTCTTCCGCGTGACAGGCGGAGATACTGTCCACTATACTAACAAGGAAGCAACTTGGAAAATTGTTTCATCGAGTGCGCCCCAATCTTACATAGTGTCATGCTCTGCAACGACCATGCCAGCTTTGTTTTTCGACTTCAAAACCCCAAGAGTGAATGGGGCTGTTGCAGATTCTGTGCAACTGTCTGTCTGTTGACTGGCTTAAACTTGATTTGTCCTTAGCCAGTAATCAAAAGCTGATTAGTCGTTTGCAAGAAACAGAACTCTACTTCGGGGAATAAAATCGAACCACGGTCCTCCGCGTGACAGGCAGCGAAACTGTCCACTATACTAACGAGGTAACAACTCAACACATTGTGTTATCGAGTGCCCCCAATGTTACGTAGTGTCTTTTTCTGCAACAGCAAAGCCATGCTTGTTTTTGGACTTTGAAACCACAAGAGTGAATGTAAAATGTAAAAAGTAATGTAATGTAAAAGCCCTTTGACTTGGAAACCCCTGGAGTGAATGTAAAACGAAACTGCTGTTACAGATTCTGTGCGACTGTCTGTCTGTTGTCTGGCTTAAACTTGATTTGTCATTAGCCAGAAAGTCAAAAGCATTTTAGTCTTTTGCAGGTTGCAAAAATTTTAAACTCCCGCAGAGGAATCGAAACCCCTGGTTTTCCATGTGACAGGCGGAGGTACTGTCCACTGTACTAACGAGGAAAGGGCTTTTCACAATGTGTTCTCGAGGTCACCCTGATGTAACATCGTATCTTTCTCTGCAACTGCGGTGCCATGTTTGTTTTTGGACTTCGAAGCCCCAAGAGTGGACGTAAAATGAATGCTCCTGTTGCAGAGTTTGATGGGAAATTGAACCTCCACGAAAAAACTTACGAGAGAGTGTCATCAAGTGCGATTTGAATTTTCATAGTCTCTCTGGTGAAATGTTTGTCTGTTGCCTGTCTTGAGCTTGCATTGCCCATAGCCAGTAATCAACAGCCATTGAAACACAAAATGTGTGAATGGCTGCGACTAACCTTAAGTGTAGATCCACTTTACAGACCAATAGCATATTAGGGGTGCTTTATTGACTCTCTCACAACACGGAAGAAAAATCTAACGTTAGAATGACCCATCAAATTACCATCGGTAGAAAAATTCTTACAAAATCCTCTGTAATAACCAGCCTTGCCCAAAAATCTGCGCAATTCTCTGCGTGATCGAGGCACTGGAAAATCAGTGATTGCCACGACTTTCTCATGAACAGGCCTGACTTGACCGTGACCCACAATTTTACCCAAATATGTGACGCTTGCCCTACCAAAGTCACATTTTGTGAGATTTAAGGTAAGTGAAGCCTTTGCCAATTTTTGAAACACATTTCGTAGTGTAGCAATATGATCTTCCCAGGTCTTAGAATAGACTATCACATCGTCCAAATATGCACTACAGTTTGAAAGATCTGCAAGAACTAAGTTGATGAGGCGCTGAAATGTAGCGGGAGCATTGCGCATCCCAAAAGCCATCACGGAATACTGCAGAAACCAATCAGGAGTCACAAATGCGGATATCTCAGCTGCACGTGCCGTCAAAGGCACTTGCCAGTAGCCTTTGAGAAGGTCAAGTTTACTGATAAACACAGCAGCACCAACATTATCGACACAATCTTCCATTCTTGGCAGGGGAAAATTATCAGGTACTGTCACAGAATTCACTTTTCGATAGTCAGTGCAAAATCTAAACGTACCGTCTGCTTTAGGTACCAGCAAACAAGGAGAACTCCATGGGCTGACACTGGGCTGCGCCAAACCATTCTCCAGCAGGTAGGATACTTCAGCTTGCATCACCGATCTTTTTGATTGATTCACTCTGTAAGGATGCTGTTTGATTGGACGAGTTTGACCAACATCTATGTCATGTTCAAGAACTGAGGTACAAGTTGGAACATCATGGAACAGGACAGGGAAATCATTGATGAGGTCAAAGAGGTCCTTCCTTTGCACATCCTCTAAATGATCAAGGTAAGAGTTCAAGTCATTCAAAACTTCAGAGTTCTTCAGCTTTGCACTTTGATGGTAAGTATTCCGCAACACAAGTCCATTCTCATCTACATCCTTCCAAGTTGCACTCTCTTGGCACACAGCAACAATTGTAACGGGATGTACAGGATGCTCTTCTGAGGATTTGTCAAGTAAAGCAGCCCTGGACTGAAAGGACTTGAGCATATTTATGTGGCATACCCGAGATTTTTGTTTCCGGGGGTTGAGATTACGTAGTTCACATTTGACAGTTTCTTTAAGATTGGATAAGGACCAGAGAACCGAGCAGAAAGTGCAGATCCCATAACAGGTAACAAAACTAGAACTTGGTCTCCCTCTTCAAAACTGCGATGAACTGCCTTGTCGTCGTAGTACTGCTTCATTGTCTTCTGAGCAGCAGTCAAGTTCTCTTGAGCCAAAGACCAAGCTTTGTGGAGACGCTCCCTAAATTTGCTAACAAACGTCAACACATTAAGTCTCGAAGTCTTCTCGGACATGATTTGCTCTTTAAAAACTTTAAGAGGTCCTCTTAAAGAATGTCCAAACACTAATTCAGCAGGGCTGAATCGTAAACTCTCTTGTGGAGTAGTTCTAGCTGCAAACAATGCAAATGGGACACTCTCATCCCAATCACGGCAAGATTCCAAGCAATGCTTGCGCAATATGGTCTTTAGAGTCTGATGAAACCTTTCCAGAGCCCCTTGGCTCTCTGGGTGATATGCACTAGACACTCTATGTGCAATTTTCAAGGAGGATAGAACCTGAGAGAAGATCTTAGACATGAAGTTAGATCCCTGGTCAGTCTGGATGATTTTCGGTAATCCAAAAGTGCAGAAAAACTTCATAAGTGCTTGCACAATCACACGCACAGTGATTTTGCGTAGCGGAATCGCTTCGGCAAATCGGGTTGCTGAGCACATTAAGGTAAGTAAAAATTGATGTCCATTTCTTGTTCTAGGTAATGGACCTACGCAGTCAGCAATGATGTGTTCGAATGGTTCCCCCAGGGTTGGAATTGGAACTAAAGGAGCAGGTGGAATAACTTGGTTTGGTTTTCCCACCAGTTGACACGTCGAACAGGTTCTACAATGACGAGCCACATCAGATTTCAGACCCGGCCAAAAGAAATGATGCAGAATCACCTTATAAGTCTTTCGTACGCCTAAATGTCCAGCAAAGCAGTTTTCATGGGCTAAAGTAAGAATTCTCTCACGAAAACACATAGGAACTACGACCTGATAAACCGTTGACCAGTCTTCTTCTCCATGAGCACACCACTTTCTCATCAGTACTCCGTCCTCCATGAAGTAAGTAGCATCCTTGAAATCCGTAGAATCCACAGCACGAAAGCATGGTTGCAAAGTCACATCCTCCTTCTGCGCAGCAATGAAAAGTTCACGAGACACAGTCAAATCCGAACCTTCCAACTTCAGAGTCGATTTGTAATCCACAGGTTTAATATCCAACGAATTGTCCATCGGGGCGATAAGAGAGTCTTCCAAAAAGGTGGGCTTAAAAACAGTTTCAGATAAGTTCAAAATCTCCTGTTTTCGAGCTTGAGCTCTAGTCACAGCGCAGGCAGGATAAATATGTAGGTCTGTGCCATCCTTCTCCTCCAAAGTATGCAGACTAGGTTTATCCCCAACCTCTAATACAGGAAATACTAAACCACCCGCTAGATCATTCCCCAAGAGGAAATCTACCCCCTTAACAGGTAGTTCATTGCGAACAGCAACCTTCACTTTTCCAGTGAAAAGTTCAGATTCTAGGTATATCTGGTGTAATGGGACTTTCACAAACCCCATCTCTATCCCCTGGACAAGGATATTACTTCCTGAATAAGTCTTTTCGTCAAAAGGAAGAACATTTGCAATAACAAATGATGTGGAAGCTCCAGTGTCTCTCAAAATTCGGATCTTAACTTTGTCATTTACATCAGACAATGAAATGAACCCCTCCTGAATAAAAGGTGTAAAACTTTTATCAGTTCTTTCATTCAACTCACTCACATGCTCAACAGCCTTCACGAAAGCCACACTCTTAGACACTGAATTTTGTTGTTTTCTCTTCAACATACAACAATCAGCAATCAAATGTCCAGTCTTGTGACAATAAAAACATCTCCGGTCATCCTTTGCATTAGAACCCTTCACAATGGGTCGACGAGATTCAGTCGCTTCAACGGCGGTTTTCTCCAAACGAACCGGGACAAAGATATTCTTATGTGTCAAAGCAAATTCATCTGCACGGACAGCAGCTTGAGCAATAGAAGTGATCTTCTGTTCATTCAGGTACACAACCATTCTTTCAGGCAGACATTGTTTGAACTCCTCTAGCAGAATCAGCTCTCTGAGTGTACTGAAACTTTCAACTTTACTTGAATGTAACCAACGATCAAAACAAAGAGTTTTCTCTCGAGCAAACTCAACATAAGTGTGTGTGCCATCTTTCTTAAGCTTTCGAAAGCGTTGCCTATATGCCTCGGGTACAAGCTCATAAGCATTCAAAATGGTACTCTTCACCATATCATAATTCATACTGTCATCTAAAGACAAAGTAGCGCACACCTCCTTAGCTTTACCAGTCAACTTACACTGCAGGAGTAAGGTCCACAGGTCTTTGGGCCAATTCAAGGCATGAGCAATCCGCTCAAATACTCCAAAATAAGAGTCCAATTCCGTCTCTCTGAACTAGGGAACAAGGGCAATATTTTTACTCACGTCAAATTTTCTCACTGGCATGGTACCCTCATTAACGCCAGAATCTAAACCAATAGCATCAGCAGAAGAAGGTGATGTCTTGGCCTTAAGTTCCATTTCCGTAATCTTAAAGTCCTTCTCAGTCTCAATTTCTAGTTTTCGTATGGCTAGTTTTAGTTGAAACTCAGCTTTACGCTCTTCACTCTTGGCTGCTGCCTCCATCTGCAACTTCGCAAGTTTAACTTTCAGGCGTGCTTTAAACCTCCCTTCACCTGTAGTTGGAGAGGGTGATTCAGAAGGTGTCGATGAACTTTTAGTGCCTGGAT